GTTTCCAATTAGGTAACGGTTTCGGCTCGAGAGCAGTAACACTGAGCTCGTGAGGTTAACGGCGAAGAACGTATCCAAACCGCCTTACATCCATAGCAAGGCGGAACGTGGAACGACCTTTGGTGAAAGTTAGCTGTGAAATAAGCGGACTCTGGTCTGACGAATAAGCAGTCGCCGACGCAGAGCGGCAATGCTACCAGGGCGCGGCGGGCTGAGGCCTGGCAAGTCAAAAGCCTATAAAGTGTCGCAAAACCTGACGACGACACTGTGGCATGGCGAGCATGAACCGCTATTAAAGAAGTTCGCTTCCCACCGCTGCCTTGTGGTCAGGCTATGGACCCGAAGCGCTAGAGGAGACAACCCCGAATAAAAACTCCAAGCGGCTGTTGGGGACCCGCCCCTACTCACAATTCCCAGGACACCTTATGAAAAAGATGATCGAAGTGAGTACTAAATGGAAATAACACTGATGCTCCGGTGATTTGATAGTCAATAATCACTTGGATCGATGGATAAAACGAAACTTCAAGGAACAAACCCTGTGTCGTGCCTTGCGGAAGGTCATAATATGCTTATCACTAAACTACAGGGGCCAGCTACAGCATCCGAATGACGAAATTTAGCAAGCATAACTATAAGCTGCATTCAGTTGCGCGCATAAAAACTTTGTCATTGGACAAAAACTTGCCGTTGGAGCAACGTGTTGCAAACGATTGAGATAAAGACATTTATGACCTAGCTTTCATTTCGTGCAAATACTATAAACTAGAAGCGCAAATGCACTGCAACAAATAAGTAGGCGTTTGATATGGTAGTAAAATCCACACTTCATTTAAGATAAAAACCGAAAATCGCTACTTTTATTTGGAGATCCAAACGACGACTGGCAATATCTATATGGAAAATAGGTATTCACACGAGCCTGCGTACACAGAATGCTCACCCTTATTTCACAACGAGATTCAGCGGGATTCTCGGAACTGACTTCGAAAAGGACGGGAGCTTCCTGGCGAGGTAGGACATCTTTGTCAGACGACGAGGACGACGACGACGATACGGGCAAACGTACGCCATTCAGATTGAAGGTAAGGTGATCGTAGAGGATGCGGTACAGCTCCTGGCCCACCATTAAACGGATATGACTGTTCCATTGCGGCCACTGTGGATTCTAAAATTGTGTAAAAAGCAAAAAGCAGATAAGACAGGCAATCATTTGGAACAGGAGACTAGGAGGAGGAATTCTGGCATAACTAGGTTTGCTGAATTGTTGGATGAAAAACAAAACAGGTTGAGCACGACGAATCTGTCTTGGTGTGGATAATGAGGTGGGGGTCACTCAAGTGGTACACTTGAAGCATGTAAGCATTGTGGCTCACACGCAATTAACAACGAAGTATATTCGAAAGATCAACAGATTGATCCTTCAACACCTCTCCCCCTTATTACTACTGATTGGTTGCTTAAAATTTTGTTAACCCTACCCTCCCTTATATTATTGTATTAGCCTGATGATGAATTAATCGAAAACGCTTGTTCGTCTAACTTGACTTCCTATCCTACCGTTATTTAATTAAGCAAACTTGAGTGATTGAATGTGCCAGGTTCTTTAGAACAGAATTTAGTTATACCTCTATTGAGCGATATCGAAACTTACCAGACAAATGCCATCCTCAGATCGTACTTGCAGGGCACGCAGCCAAGCCTCGCGAACCGATCCTGCTTTTCTTTCCTGACTGGTGTAGAGGTTTGCGTAAATCTCGTACGTCAGCTTCAGCTAAAAGAAAAAACGAGACGTGGTGTACATTCGGCAAACGAAAGGACATGTTTATTAGGTTGTTGAGGTTTACTATGGCCTTAGGTCAAAGAACAGGCAATAATTCGAATGTGTCGACTATTACGTGTTACCCTAGCACCCAGGCCCGCACGCCTTGCTAAGACAGCATACTCTGAAGAAGAAAGAATCTATACAAGCGAACAGGCGAGTCGCAGGAAATAAGTGAGAAGACAAAGAAGAAGGTGTGATCACCGAGACAACACCTTTATTCGCCTGACGCCGCGGATTCTCCATCAGAGATCGGCTGAAAATAGTAGCAGAAACGGGTCATGCATGCACAGGAAGTAGCAGTCACAATCATTACTGTAAATGTATGACAAACAACGACAATTAGCGATAATTGCCCTCTTGTGCGTAGATGGCTTGATGACAGGCATGCCGGCTGTGACCTGCT